GAAAATCCTGATCCTAGTTGATCGTCTTAGAACCCTACCTTCTGCTCCAAATTTGTCTACTTTCTGAGCCAGGCAGGTCGACAAGAATTAGTTTTCACTTTATTAACATGCTGAAATCTTTACATAAGCTCCAGAGCTCCACCATTAAGCATCACAATTTTATGACTAACTGTGAAAAAGAGCTTTACCTCTTATCTTTAACTGAACCCTGCTGGATTATGAACAAGCAAGCGCAGTGGCTTCTACTGCTAGACATTTTATCTCTGGCGTTCATTGTTAAACTGAAAACAATCTTCAAGATGACTCTCAATCAGTTATAGCTTTTTGGTCAGCTTGTTGTAGCATATTCATAATCTCATAATCTAAAATGGCAAGAGTTGTACAGGTTGCTACTAAAATATTGATGTTCTCGAAAAGAAAGGACGTTACATTCCAATCTTTAGATTACATACGAGGAGAAGGAGGAGGGTGTGCCAGTTTGTGTCAACATTACTACTACAAACAACTACAAATATTACAAGGCCAAACTCTGCTTCATCACTTCCATTTTGGTGAGAAGCCTTCCCATCTCTTCCTCCATTCTCATCCTCATTTCATAGAACTCTCTCTCCCCTCTCTCCATTGCCTCCAGCTCCTCGTGCATCCTCCTCCTTCTCTCCTTTGTCTCGTCCACACTCAGCTTCCCAATTCTCCTCTTGTACTCCTCTTCTATCTTCTCATTCTTCGCTACTGCTATACGTTTCAGCCCATCTGCCTCTCTTCTTGCATCATCTGCCCGCCCTTGGAACATCTCTGCCTCTGCTTGTTTCATTCTCACGATGCTTTCTAGTTCTTCGAAACGAGGTTCTTTTGGAGATGATCCTCTTATCATTCCCGTCTCAAATCCACATATTTCTCTTTGTCTCTCTCTGTGGAACACACCAACTACACTTGCTGACCTTTTGAGCTGATGGTCTGGTTTATCTGAGCACACCGACCTCAGCCACGCTGTGTCTTGACTAGGGCTTCCCCTATCATGTCTGGGTTTTGGCTGTTCGTATCTGAACGGTGCACAAGTTTCACCAGGAGTTGAGGAGGAATCACAGTCTACCATCACCAAGCAAAGTATTGAACTAGTAATGATCAGCAATGACCATTTTTTACAATAGCTATATAAAAAGAAAAAAAAAAAAACAGGTATGGTTCACAATTCAAACAATTATGCGCACCTGAAATGAAACCCAATATCCGATTGCAAGCTTCAGGATGGCCTATCGATTTACTCTTCAACCTTGCCAGGATCGCATCAGCAGTTTGTCTCAGCTGTTTCCCTTTAAAGTCTTTGCTAGATGAAAATATCTTACTGACATATTCCAGTTCCTTACAGAAACGCTCGAATTTCCATTCTCTGGCAAAATTCAGAAACACTTCTTTGACAAAGCCAAACATCTCCGAGGGATGGTCACAAGCGACACAGTGAAATTGCATTTCAGTCATTCTTGGAGCACCAGAAGCATTGATCCCATTCCGGACGTAAGATTCTCGTATCGCACAATCCGTGTGGCACCAGTGAAGACACACATCACACCCAACCCAGCTACATGTGTTTGATGCCATATCAAAATTTGAGCACACAAGACACATGCAGGCACTACAAAATCCATCATTCCTTGAACAAACCCTGCAATCGCATTCATCCACAGGCACAAGAACCCTACAAGAAAGATTTTTGCATCTCATGTTCATGTATATCTCAGCTAGATGGGTAGAAGAGATGTTGCTGTTGTCCAGCTGAAGGAAATCAGAACATCCAGTTTTTAGTGCGACCAAGATCTCCAACTGAGCACGATGAGATTTTGTAAGCAATTCCAGTGTTATATCAGTCCTGTGCTGCAGAGAATCTTGAAAAGCACTAAGTTTTACATTTTTATCCATGTTCAGCATTATCTGACGTATGTTTTCCTTCAGGCTAGTGATGTATCCAGAGGGCATCTCATGAAATCTCTTGGTCATCACATCCATAGAATCAGAGAGAATGTATTTTATGACCGTCTCAACAGAATCATCCCCACTAGCTTCCTGACCACTTATCCAAGAGATGCTACCACCGAAAAAATCCTTCGCTTTCTTCTTCTCAACATGAAACTTTGAATCATTTTCAAGAGAGCTCGTTCTTGGACATGCTGATTTAACATCAATACTTTTCTGGAAACTCAATTGTTTTTCAAGCCTAATTGCTGCTTTAGAGCCCCCATCGGTCAATTTAAGCTGCTCTTCATCACCCTGACCCATACTTAAAACACCTTTCATTGCTTGAGGGTGAACTGAACCATTTCCATTTTCCATCAGCCTTTGATAGACTGTATTCTCGTTGTACCTTGAATTGTTATGAGACAGAGCCTGCCAATCTATACCCTGAAATATAGGCCGACTATGAACTGACTGCTCATTATCTCCAATATTTTGATTCAATGAACAGCTTGGATTATGATTAATCGAACGGGAACCTGAAAAGGACATAGACATGGTGAAGCTGTCAGAATTGGTACAAAACGTGCCAGTCAAAGAGCGAACACTTCCAGAACGAGCTGGTGAACCCAGAGGCTGACTAGTATCCTGGCCACCAATTGGCAACAATACATCTGGTAGGCTAAGTGATAGATCCAGTGGCTCCAACAACAACTTCTCATCCTTTGGCTTATTGACACCCGGCTGCTCAGTTTTATTTGTTTTACTAACCAGAGAACTAGAAAACAGTTCAAACCCTCTAATACTTGATTCTCCGAAGTTATCATCTTCATCTTTATCCCTGTCAGTAAGATCCTCAGATTTTCCTTCAGACAAGACAACATTTTCATGTAACTTAGCAGATGGGACATCCAAATGTTTGCCCTTATCCTCGCATTTGTGGATGGAACTATCTGATATAATGCTAATGTATTTAGCAGGCAATTTATTTCCTAGAGCATTTTCCTCAAAAAATACAGGGGCTTCAACTTCTGCTTTGTTGGCATCACCATCAGTACCCTTAACTCGCTTAAGCTCTTCTGACTGAAACCGTTCAGGAACAGCTGGAAAAAGACTTTCTCCCAACTTCACTTCATGGTTCACCTTGTATTCCTCTCCCTTGTCGCCTTTATCATCGACCATATCTGTAATCGCATTGACAACAGAAGTGTTCCTGTCATCTCTAAGCTCGTGTTCATTAGCCACAATTGTATCATTCACGTTGTTTTGAGAAGTAGGCATGCTCTCAATCACATGCTCAGACACTTTTTCTCCCTTTTCAACTCTTTTTCTATCCATCATATTCTCAGCCGTTTTCGTTTCCCTATCACCACCAACATGTCTGACTTCCTTGTTAACTTCAATTTCAGCTTTTTTTAATTTATCATTAAACTCACCGTTTCTTTTAGTGTCTTGGAAACTACTATCAATTTTTTCGTTCTTCTTGTCTTCACAGTCATGTGTTGTATGAGCAGCCTCAGATGCGGCCTCTAGTTGGGGCTCAGGCTCAAGCTCTCCTTCCTCCATCTCGCTGCTACTGCTTCTACTGCTCTTACCCTGCACTTCGTCCTCGCTATTCTTCACAACATTTCCAACACTCTTCGACTGCTCACTCCCGGAATCTTTGGACCAAGTGGGAGAAGCCAAAGATTTGGATCTGGACTTGGAATTTCTCGAATCCATTTTCAATTTCGATTGCTCGTTACCAGAGCCTCTGGACCAAGTAGGGGACTTGACACTCCTTTCCCTCTCTCCATCCCTTAATCTCAAAGAAAGCCCTCCCCTTTCTCTGTCTCGATCATCCCTGCCAAATTCATTCCCTGAACCACCAAACCTCCTCCATGAAGAAACGCTAGCTTCCCTTTTAGGCCTCTCCCTCTCGGAACGGAATCCTTTTGGAAAATCCCTCCTTGAGAAACAAGCACTCTCAGATCGATGGAGCCTTTCCTCCCTGTACCGGACATCAGGCTCTTTCCTTCGATTATTATTAAAGTCACGACTGGATTGCCTACGGGAAAAACCCCTGGAGAAACTAGCATCGTCACCGGATAAAAAAGGCTGGCGGTCACGGTCATATCTGGTAGGGGATATGGGTCCTCTGCGATTGGAGGACTTGTGGAAGAAACCTCGATGGGAGGAAGAGGCGGGACGGTTGGAGTTTAGAGGTTCTCCATCAATATTCTTATCATTGTAGGAATCAAGGTCATCGCTGCTGGATCTTGGTCGTTTCATCTTTTAAAATTGCGATTTAGAATACGCTGCGATATGAAATCGTAAGAATCCAGCGAAGAGAGCAAGCTACTTTTTTTTTTTTGAAAATTGGGAAATAAAGAGGTAATCGGATAAAACGTACAAGAGGAGAAAGGAATAAGAGAGTACCTGGAGATACCCAAAGTAAAATAACGAGTTTGGTAATCAGAAACCACGAAAATTCGAAACTAAACCATCGAATTATCAAAAATCTTATTTAGGTAGTGGGGCCATGGCGGATGTAAAAATTTCAGGCATTGACCAGATTTTCTTTATTTTCTGCTATTTCCTTTTTAACATCTTTTTTGCTATATAGTGCTATTTATTATTTCAATTTTTTTTTTGTAGTGCTGTGATTTACTTAATAGTACTAATAGTACCTGTGTTCAAAAAATCGCCAGTTAGACGATTAATCAGCCGATTAGGCGACTAGGCACGGATCGAGGGCAAGCCGCCGCAATTTTAGGCTAGGTGGTCGGCGTTCAGCTTAGTCGATTATCCACCTTATACCGATACTTTTAAAATTTCGGTGAGACTTATTTAAATCGGAAACTTATTAATACTATTGGAGCCCAATAACTGGCCCAACTGAAGTGGACCGCGCTCTTAATATGGATTGACTAGAATAAGAATCCTTGGGAGATGAGGACTCTTATTTATAGTGCAGCTTCCCCTTCTCAATTATCCAAGTTTGTCGATGTGGGACAACACAAAAGACCTACTTCTAAAAAAAATGAAATCTATTAAAGCACGACGCTGGTAAAGCATCATTGCAATGGTTGCAGGTCCAAGGAACCAGATAGTATACAGAATCTCTCTTATCATGAAGAAATATAGTTCTCCTACTCTTGCCTCTACTATCAGCAATCTCACACCACCTTTCACATTCACCCTAGCCGTTATCTTCAGGTTCCACCTCTATCTCTTTCGATTCTGTTTTGCGAGATTGGTCGGGAGCCTGGACAATGAAAATACGCGATGGTTCCAAATTAACTAATCATACATAATCTCATTCCTTTTGCTTTTGTGGAATGAATAATAACTAATTATAACGAATATAGGTTTTGCGTATATTTGTTATCGGCAGTGTCATTGGATCAATGATATTGTGCTTTGGATTCTACACTGTGATTTGGGGAAAAGCAAGAGAGGATGTAACCAAAAGTGTAGCTGGTTCCGAGCAGTCACCTTTGCTACTTACACACATCATAGAAGATGAAGCCTTTTCACTAAGATAAGATTGATGCAAGTTAAATCCTTGTATTATTAATTTATAAATATGACTCCTTTAGAAGATGGTCTTTGTTTATGTGTATCTGTTTGAGGTTAATTAAGAATGATATATATTTGACTCTATAATAAATATTTGTTTTTCATTTTTCTATCACCTGGGCAATGCGTTCACTTTCCTTGCTTAGGTTTAAAGTATTGGTCAAGTTGGAATATTTATATAAAATAAATAATATATTAGCAAGTTGGAGTATTTATCTAAATAAAACAATGTATTAGCAAACGTGGTGGGATTAACCACTATGATTACCTATGAACTCACTTTGACTTCTGAGAGATTTTGAAAAGTCTAGACATCAGGTCCTATGGCAAGAGGAGCAGAAGAAGAGACAGAGGCATGGAGATTCTTTTGCAGAGATGCTGTGCCATTTGCTGTGATGGTCGCAGTGGAGTGTGTCGCGGTTGGATCTAACACACTTTTCAAGGCTGCGACCTTGAGAGGATTGAGCTTCTATGTCTTTGTCTTCTACTCTTATGCTGTTGCTACACTTGTCCTTCTTCCACTTTCCCTCATCTTTGGAAGGTACTTGATTTCCTTCAACTAGTCTTGCCTTGTATATACTTTTCAAAGGATATGAAGTTATTTTACATTGTGCAGGTCAAAAAGATTACCGTCAGCCAAATCTCCTGTCTTCTTCAAGATTTTCTTACTTACGCTTGTCGGGTAATTATATACTCTTAGAGTTATGGTCTTATAAGCATTTCTGTTTCTTAAACTTGGATGAAACAGGTTGATGTCGTCAATATCTGGCTGTAAAGGAATAGAATTTAGTTCTCCTACTCTTTCCTCTGCTATTGGCACCCTCACGCCAGCTTTTACCTTCATGCTCGCCGTTATCTTCAGGTTACAACTCTTTCTCTTTTTGACTCTGTTTCGGTAAAGTAATCTAGACAGCTGAATTAACTCTGTAAAATCTCTCAAGCTTTTTGCCTTTGTGGACTGACCAAGATAAGTTTTTAACATCCTAACATTTACTTCTTCTGGTCAGTGAGTAAGTAGTTTACACACGAAAACAGTTCGGTACTAATCAAAAACTAAAACACATGGAAAAGATCACAGCCACTTGTACAAGCACAACCTTGTGGTTGAATGGTTTTGAGGTTTGTTTGTTATTATCATCTAATCATTTAACTCTAATCAGTTCTTACTTCCTTGGGTGACTTGTGAAGGATGGAACAAGTAGTGTTAAGGAGCTTTACGAGTCAGGCCAAAATCATTGGCACCATAGTATCTATATCTGGTGCTCTGGTTGTTGTGTTATATAAAGGCCCAAAAGTTCTTGCTGCTGCATCTTTTACATCTTCATCATCTACCATTTCGCTTGACCATCATTTGACTTCGTTTGATTCAAGTTGGATAATCGGAGGGCTTTTGCTTGCTTCACAGTATTTTCTTATATCAGTCTGGTATATTCTTCAGGTATGAGAAAAGACTTTGGATTTGTCGTTGACACATATAACTCTTGCTAAATTTTGCAGCTCTATATGATTTCAGACTCAGGTCATGGAGGTATACCCTGAAGAAATAACAGTAGTATTCTTGTACAACTTATGCGCAACACTAATCTACTTACCAGTATGTCTATTTGCCGAAAAAGACTGGACATATTTTCTGCTTAAACCGGATGTCTCCCTTGCTGCAGTCTTGTACTCGGTGAGAATCAAATCTTATATGTTGCTCTTCAAGCATCAAGAAGTGACTATCTTTTAAGCTCAGAAATCAACATTCTTTTTCAGGGAGGCTTACTTTCATCATTTGGCATAGTTATACACACATGGGGTCTGCATCTGAAGGGTCCAGTCTATATATCCTTGTTCAAGCCATTGTCTATTGTCATTGCAGTTATCATGGGTGCTATGTTCCTCGGCGATACATTTTACCTTGGGAGGTATTATATCTTTTACAGTCTTCTTTAATAGTACATTCAGATGATTTTATCTATACTGTCTCTTCACTGAGATCCAATCATAACACCAAAATTAGTTTCATGTATCTATCCATGCAATCTAACTCATCACAAGTCACTCTTAGCCTCCTCATATAGTTTCTTCATGTATATAAATCATGGTAACTTGGTAAGCCTTTGGAGACAATATTAACCGATATAAATCTCGCATATATGTGTTGTGAGCAGTGTCATCGGATCAGTGATCTTGAGCTTAGGATTCTACACTGTGATTTGGGGCAAAGCAAGAGAGGCTTCATCCAAAACTGTGGCTGGTTCTGAGCAGTCACCTTTGTTGCTTACACACAACATAGAAGATGAAGCTGATCATTGATACGTGACTGATGCAAGTGGACTACTTCTATATTTTTCATTTGTAAATATGGTGCCATTAAGAGATGGCCCCCATTGATGTTTATGTATACTATTTTTCTGTTTCTGTGTCTTGTATTATTTCAAGAGTTAAATAAGAATGTTTTTATTGAGCAATTGGCAAAGTGACTAATATTTCGAAATTACCTTCCCTATGCTTGCTTCTAAGCTCATTTTGTCTTGAGAGAATTTCTCAGAGTCTAGACATCAGATCTATGTCAAGACAAGTTAAGGAAGAGACAAGCAAAGGACGAGACAAGCGTGGATGCTTTGCAGATTCGCTGCAATGGCTACTAGTCCTTCTTCCACTTTCCCTCATCTTTAGAAGGTACTTAGAAGCTTATCTACTCTTTTCCCACTATGAATTCACAAAGTCTTATGAATATGTAAGAAATATTGTCATTGTATTTGTGGCCTTGCTTATGAATGCTCAAATGGAAGTTGGGAAATTCTTCAGCTAGAGGATTAAGTGCTATGTCTTCTTTGAAGAGAAGAGGAAAAAGCTCCTTGTAGTGGGACCCTTCATCATAAATATTTTAGTTGTATGGTGTTAAGTATTAGTCAAGTTGGTAATATTTATCTAAATAAAATAATTTATCATTTAGAAAACGTGGTGGGGATTAATAACTATGATTTGCTTATGAAGTGACATTGACTTCTGAGATTTTGTGAAAGTCTAAACATCAGATCTATGACAAGAGGAGCAGGTGAAAAGACAGTGGCATGGAGATACTTTTACAGAGATGTTGTGCCGTTCATAGCAATGGTCGCGGTGGAGTGTGTCACTGTTGGATCTAACACACTGTTCAAGGCTGCGACCTTAAGAGGACTGAGCTTTTATGTCTTTGTCTTCTACACTTATGTTTTTGCTACACTTGTTCTTCTTCCACTTTCCCTCATTTTTGGAAGGTACTTGATCTCCTAAACTACTCTTTATTACCAGTATAAACTTTTCAAGAATGTGATCATATTTTACATGTGCAGGTCAAGAAGATTACCTTCAGCCAAATCTCCTGTCTTCTTCAAGATTTTCTTGCTTGCGCTTCTCGGGTAAATTATATACCTCTACAGTTATGGCCTTATGAGCATTTCCGTTTTTTTTTTTCTTAACTTGGAGGGAACAGGTTCATGTCACTGATAGCTGGCTCCAAAGGAATAGAATATAGTTCTCCTACTCTTGCCTCTGCTATCAGCAACCTCACGCCAGCTTTCACATTCACGCTCGCCATTGTCTTCAGGTTCTCATTCGATTCTGTTTTCGGAAAGTAATCTAGCAAGATTCCACACTATGCTGGGGTGATTCCCACACTTGTAAACCGTATCTAATCTCAAGTCTTTTGCTCTTTTGGAATGAACAAGATTTGATTTTGTGGTCCACACTCTTTATTTTTTTCTGGTCAGTGAGTATATATCGGTAACTGTTCGGTTCCAATCAAAACCAAAGCACACGGAAAAGGTCACAGCCACTAGTACAAGCACAACCTTGTGGTTGAATAAACGAATGTTGCACCTTCATTTCCTCTTAGAGAAATTGAATGGATTTGAGGTTTTTATGTTACTATCATTTATTCATTTAACTATAACTGATTCTGCCTCATTTGGTGACTTGTAAAGGATGGAGAAAGTAGTGTTAAGGAGCTCTGCGACTCAGGCTAAAATCATTGGCACCATAGTATCTATATCAGGTGCTCTGGTTATTGTTCTTTATAAAGGCCCAAAAGTTCTACCTGCTGCCTCTTCATCATCTACCATATCGCTTTACCAGCATTTGACTTTCTCTGAGTCAAGTTGGATAATTGGAGGCATATTAGTTGCTGCACAGTATTTGCTTGTTTCAATCTGGTTGGTTCTTCAGGTACATAACAGTTCATGAAAAAAAAAAAGACTTTTGGATTTGTAGGTGACACATAAAACTCTTGCTAAATTCGGTAGCTCATAAACAATTTCAGACTCGGATCATGGAAGTATACCCTGAAGAAATAAATGTGATATTCTTATATAACTTATTTGCAATGCTAATCTCAGCACCTGTATGTCTATTTGCGGAAAAAGACTTGACTTCTTTTCTGCTTAAACCGGATATCTCCCTCGCTGCAGTCATGTACTCGGTGAGACTCAAAACCTTATGTGTTGCCTCAAGCACTGACTATAAGTTAAGCTCAATATTGAACGTTCTGTTTCAGGGTGGGTTAGTTTCAGCATTGGGCTCAGTTATACACACATGGGGTCTCCATCTCAAGGGTCCAGTGTATATATCCTTGTTCAAGCCCTTGTCTATTGTTATTGCGGTCATCATGGGTGCTATGTTCCTGGGCGATCCACTTCACTTGGGGAGGTAACATATCTTCACAAGCCACACTTGCTTCCATATTTCCTTCAAATGCCTCTGTGTAATTGCTAATATATCTGTCTTAAGTGTAATATGCCTCTGGATGTGTGTTTTGGGCAGTGTCATCGGATCATTGATATTGAGTTTTGGATTCTACACTGTGATTTGGGGCAAAGCAAGAGAGGATTCAAACAAAACTGTGGCTGGTTCTGATCAGTCACCTTTGTTGCTTACACACATGGGAGAAGGTGAAGCCTCATCATTAATACGTGACTGATGCAAGTGGAATACTTCTATTTATATGGAGCAATTAGGAGATTATGACGCTCTCTATTAATGTTAAATGTATAGATATGTTTTACATACAATCCTGTTCTATTTCATTCTGTAGTAATTCAAGGTTAAATAAGAATGATTTTTTTTCCCTCGGATTCACACAATGATTTTGAAACTAAGTTTGAATCATTATGATTTTGAAAGTCTTACTCACTGGAGAAGATTGTTGTAATGAATTGATTGATTAAAAAAGTTCATAGTGGTGGGTCCCTAGAATATTGGGATATGATATTTGTGGTGTAAGTATTAAGTCACGTTGGGGAATTTTCCCTTTTGTCGTCACTAAGACCATGGCTTGCTTCTAAACTCACTGTTACCTTCAAAGAAATAATGAGAATCAAATCTAGATACCATGAGAGAAACAATGGCGTGGAGGTACTTTAACAGAGATGTTGTGCCATTTGCTGCAATGATCGCTGTGGAGTGTGTCACGGTTGGTTCGACCACACTGTTCAAGGCTGCGACATTGAGAGGATTGAGTTTCTATGTCTTTGTCCTCTACGTTTACGTTGTTGCTACACTTGTCCTTCTTCCACTTTCCCTCATCTTCGGAAGGTAATTTGATCTCCTTCAACTACTCTATGTTTATAGACGTTTCAAGAATGTGAGCACATTTGTACATGTGCAGGTCAAGAAGATTACCTTCACCAAAATCTCATGTCTTTTTCAAGATTTTCTTGCTTGCGCTTCTCGGGTAATTATCATATACTCCTAGAGTTACTTCAAGATTTTTCTTTTTCGGTTTTTTAACTTGGAGGAAACAGGTTCATGTCGATGCTAGCTGGTTGCAAAGGAGTAGAATATAGTTCTCCTACTCTAGCCACTGCTATTGGTACCCTCACGCCAGCTTTCACTTTCACGCTCGCCGTTATCTTCAGGTTCCACCTCCTTCTCTTTCGATTCTGTTTAGGGAAAGTAACCGAGACTGCTTAATTAAACAATGGGGTGGCGATTCGACATTTCTTTAACAGTACAAAATCTCAAGCCTTTTGATTCTGTGGAATGACCAAGATATGTTTTGAGATCACAGTCTCTACTTCTTTTGGTCTGTGAGTAAGTAGTTTGGTACCAATCAAAACCATAACAAACGGAAAAGGTCACAGCCACATAGTACAAGCACAATCTTGCCATTTCTTTCTAATAGATATTGAATGGACTTGAGGTGTGTTTGTTACTATCATCCAATCATTTAACTCTGAACTGATTCTGTTTCATTTGGTGACTTGTTAAGGATTGAACAAGTAGTGTTAAGGAGCTCTGCGACTCAAGCTAAACTCATTGGTACAATAGTATCTATATCTGGTGCTCTGGTTATTGTTCTTTATAAAGGCCCAAAAGTTCTAGCTGCTGCATCTATCACACCTTCATCATCTACCATCTCGCTTTACCAGCATTTGACTTTATCTGATTCAAGTTGGATACTCGGAGGGCTTTTGGTTGCTTCACAGTATCTTCTTATTTCAGTTTGGTATATTCTTCAGGTATGAAAAAAAAGACTATGGATTTGTTGGTGATACATAAAAGCCTTGCTGAATGTGGCAGCTCTATACTGATTTCAGACTCAGGTGATGGCGGTATACCCTGAAGAAATAACAGTAGTCTTCTTGTACAGCTTATGCGCAACACTAATCTCAGCACCAGTATGTCTACTTGCAGAAAAAGACTTGACTTCATTTCTGCTTAAACCAAGTGTCTCCCTCGCTTCAGTGATGTACACAGTGAGAATCAAAGCTTATATGTTGAAGTAATGACTATACTTAAAGCTCAAAAAAAATTATACTCTGTTTCAGGGAGGCTTAGTGTCAACATTGGGCTCAGTTATACACACATGGGGTCTGCATCTGAAGGGTCCAGTCTATATATCTTTGTTCAAGCCCTTGTCTATTGTCATTGCCGTTGCAATGGAGGCTATATTCCTCGGCGATGCACTTCACCTTGGAAGGTAACATATCTTTCACCTTCTTCCTTTATAGCCCACCCACAGATTTGATCTTATATAAACATACCATACAGCTCTAAGTAACTGAAAGAGTTACGAGATCCATGGAATCACACTTAGCTTCCATATATAGTTACTTTAATATGTTTTTGAATGTACAGTAATATAGATTTCCCCATATATGTGTTGTGGGCAGTGTCATCGGATCAGTGATTTTGAGCTTAGGATTCTACACTGTGATTTGGGGCAAAGCAAGAGAGGATTCAACCAGAAATGTGGCTGGTTCTGAGCAGTCACCTTTGTTGCTTACCCACACCATTGAAGATGAAGCCTCATCATAAAGATATGACTGATGCAAAGTGGAACCCTCTAATATAATGGGTTAATAAATATGGAGCCATTAAGATATGGTCCTCATTAATGTTTACGTGCTACCTATATATTGTTCTATCTCTTATCTTGTTATATTAGAAGGGCTAAATAAGAACGAAATTGTCTTAACTACTGATATTGCCATATTACCTTCATTTTTCTTGCTTCTGAGCTCATTTTGTCTAGCGAGAATTTCTTAAAGTATGGACATCAGAAGCTATGACAAGAGAAGAGACAGTGTGCCATGGTAGGATCTAACACACTGGTCAAGAGTGCTACCTTAAAAGCATTGAACAAGTCCTTTGTTAGTTTCTGCAGGCTCCGTTGAACAAGTTTATCTTCTGCTGCTGGAGGAATCCAAGGTCAGTGATGATTGGTGTTACTGAAGCGGTAGGGCTAACTTTTGGATTGATGAAGATTGCAGATTTTTTGGGTTAAATCACTGATGAAGAGGAAATCCAATAATCCATCAATATTCCCTTCTGAATATGGATCCTTGTGATTGCTGGTGGGTTGTTATCATTGATGCTGATGAAATTTGGTATAAGTCTTGATCATTGGAAGGGAATGCTCAAATGGAAGTTGGAAATTTCTTTGGTTGAGTGGTTAAGTTTGAAGGTATTAAAGCTATAGGGGGCAAAGTTCTTTGTCGTGGGTCCCTAGCATATTTGGATATGATCCTTGTGGTGTGAAGTATTTGAATGATTACTTTCCAATATTGTTGTCACTGAAAATGTATTGGTTCGTACTTAAATAATGTAGCAGAAACGTAATTGGAGTTAATCACAAAGACCATGAATCCGTGATGAACTCATTTTAACTTCAGAGACTTTCTGAAGAATCTGAATCTATCATGAGAGAAACAGTGGCTTGGAGGTACTTTAGCCAAGATGTTGTACCGTTTTCTGCAATGATTGCAGTAGAGTGTACCACGGTTGGATCATCTACACTGTTCAAAGCTGCTACCTTGAGAGGATTAAGTTTTTATGTCTTTGTCTTTTACTCTTATGCTGTTGCTACACTTGTCCTATTTACACTTTCCCTCATCTCTGGAAGGTACTTCATCGTCTCAACTACTCTTTGTTCAGTATATGCTTTTCTAGAATATCAAATTTACTTTTACATGTGCAGGTCAAGAAGTTTACCTTCAGCCAAGTCTCCTCTCTTCTTCAAGATTTTCTTGCTTACGCTTCTCGGGTAATTATATATTCTTGCTTGGAGATTTTTGATTATTCTTCGGTTTTTTCTTTTCTTGTTTGGTAACTTGGTAAAAACAGGCTCACGTCGAAGATAGCTGGTTGTAAAGGTATAGAATATAGTTCACCAACACTGTCTTCAGCTATCAGCAACCTCACACCAGCTTTCACCTTCGTTCTTGCCGTCTTCTTCAGGTTCTTCTCTTTTCTTTCTGTCACTATAAGGTTTTGTTTGTTACTAGATCAATCTTATTCATCTAAGTTTTTTTGCTTCATTTGGTGACTTGTAAAGGATGGAACAAGTAATGTTAAGAAGCTCTGCAACTCAGGCTAAAATCATTGGCACCATAGTATCCATATCCGGTGCTCTGGTTGTTGTTCTTTATAAAGGCCCAAAACTTCTTGTTTCTGCTGCATCTTTTACTTCATTTGAGTCAAGTTGGATCATTGGAGGCCTTTTTCTCGCTTCACAATATTTGCTTCTTTCAGTCTGGTATATTCTTCAGGTAGTGTGCATAAAACTTAAACAGATTCGAGAAAGAGATTTTGGTTTTGTTGGTAACGCATAAACATGATTTCAGACTCAGATCATGGAGATTCACCCTGAAGAAATAAGCGTAGTCCTCTTCTACAACTTCTGTGCAACGCTAATCTCAGCGTTAGTATGTCTATTTGCAGAAAAGGACTTGAATTCATGGAAGCTTAAACCAGGAGTTTCCCTTGCTGCAGTCATATACTCGGTGAGAAACCAAACCCTTATAAGTCTGTTCAAGTACTGACTCTTATCTTAGCTTAAGCTCAGAAGACAACACTCTGTTTCAGGGATTTTTTGATACATCATTAGGATCAGTTATCCACACATGGGGTCTGCATTTGAAGGGTCCGGTCTACGTATCCTTGTTCAAGCCGTTGTCTATTGCAATTGCAGTCGCCATGGCTGCTATATTCCTCGGCGATGAACTTCACCTTGGGAGGTACCATATCTTTCATCTTCTTAGTTTCAACTATAGTGTCTCTTTCTTGAAACTTTAAGGGATAAAAGCTTAGTTTTAGGTCATTGCAATATTTAATTTCATCTTTAATGCTTCACTCAAGAACTAATGAATTTCTTTGAAATATGTAGCAGTAATAAGCTATGTAGATTTTAGATTGTTGAGTAATAATATTTAGAGATTAGTATATATAAACTTGCATCTATGTGTTGTGGGCAGTGTGATTGGATCAGTTATATTGAGCTTTGGCTTTTATACTGTGATTTGGGGCAAAGCAAGAGAAGATGCAACTAAAATAGTAAGTGATTCTGAGCAGTCACTTTTGTTGCCTTCACAGAACAGAGAAGATGAAACCTTACCATGAAAAAGTGTTGGATACAAGTGAAATCATTATTTTGTATATATAGTCTTCATATTAGTCAACATCCTGTAAATATATATATCTACAATACAAGATTTTCTGTTTCTTCTTGTATTATTTAGAAGGTAAACCAGAATTTGGTTCTATCTCAGTTTGTTGGATTCATTCATTGATTGTGTACCCATCAGTGGTCCCATTGATTGTGTACCCATTTAACAATGGTCCATATTTATCTTGTGATATGTATGTCTATTTACGTCACATGTTATAAGTTTTGTAATTTATTGTTTATCTACAAAACGTATACATATACTCAATACAAAAACACAAACAAAAAAAAATATTATTTTCATGAAGTTTTTTTGTTTAATTTTATGAACTCAACTCTGAAACAACCCATAAACCTTTCAGTTTCAAACTAATAAACAGAAGAAAAACATACAAAAAGAAGTTGTTCGCTTCAAATTCTGTGATGCCAAACATTTTCTCCGGTAAAACTCAAGTTATACTACACAATGAGAATCAAACTTTTTTCCGCTGATTAATCCTCTATCTTGGAAGTTGGAATTGATATGATAAAAAAGAAATGTTACCTTTACAACACCAATATTGATTATTGAGAAACCAATTACATTTGACAAATCATAATTTTTTACTCTAGATTTGAAATATTTTACTTTATTTTTAGTTTCTTCTTATAAGTTTTCGAAAAACAACATTAAACACAATGCCCATGAAACCTAGTCATGTGTTATTGGTAGATATTCACAAAAAAAAAGTGAAAATTCCTCAGACTAACCTCTAAGGTTAATGAAATGACAAACCTAACCTAACATATTGAAGGGCTTACTAGACTAACCTTATAAAGTTGGTTTAAATCCATTTTATCCAGATGTTGAATATTATTACGAAAATGCCATTATGATTTTTTTTTTTAAATTTTTTTTTTTCGAAAAAACTTTAATTTCGAAAAAAACTTTTTAAAAAATGGAAATTTTTTTTGACAAAAAAAAACATTTTTTAAAACGAAAACAGCAAAAAAAAAAAACCAAAAACTAAAAAAAAAACCCTAATTCATCTTCTTCTCTCTCTCTTTCTTCTGCGCCGTTTTTTTTCTCCCATGGAGCTGCTCTTCTTCATAACTTGGCAGCCTCCCTTTTTTCGCAGCTTTCTCTTCACAGCTTTCCTTTTGTTTCACAGATCTACACAGATCTTGCCTCAATCGCCGTTCAGAAACTTGTTCAGGTTTGTTTTTTTTCTCATATATCCTCATTTTTCTTATTTTTTCTTCTTTCTTCTTCGTCTTCCTCTTTCCCTTCGTCTTCTACTTTCTGTTTGGCGGAGGAGGAGTTTTACTGTTGGTGTTAGAGATCTCGGAAATATTGGCACGACTCTTAAGCGGCATTCTCGCCGCATCGCACACAACCGCACTGGACAGATGTTGTTTTGAAGAAATGGTGGTGTCCCGGAGGTTGACGGCGGCGTAAGTTTTTTTCTGTAAAACCCGCAACCCTAATTTTTTTTGTTTCAGGTAAGTTTGGTAGATATATTTGGAAAACGATAAGTAGTTTGGTAGATTTATTGTATTTTTTTGTTGTAAAGTTCATAATATGTGATGGTATATTTTTTTTGAAAAACGATATGTAGTTTGGTAGATTATTAGTTATTTGATGGTAGATATTTAGAAAACGAAATATGGTTTGGTAGATTTATTAGTTATTTGATGGTAAAATTATTTTAGAGTAAAAACGATGTCATTTGGTAGATTTATTAGTTATCTAATGATAGACTTATTTGTAAAACGATGTGGTTTGGTAGATTTATTAGTCATTTAATGATAACTTATTTGAAAAATGATTTGTGTTTGGTAGATTTATTAGTTATTTATGGTAGATTTATCAGTCGTATATATTTGAATTTTATATACGAATGACAGTATTTGTTTATTTTTCTCTGACAGATTATGGGGTTTGCCATGGTGAACAAATCTTTGATGGGATATCCAGCATCGATCCGACATGTTTTACTATGAATTGTAGATTTGCATTTGGTAGATTTGTTTTGAAATAATGGTAGATTTATTATTAAATTGATGGTATATCTGTATTTTGAATTTGTAAAAATGATAATTAGATTTTAAATGATAATATTGTTGTTTTCAAATTATATTTGTCGTAAAACATTGACCCAGACATTTTCACATTTTTACCATATTTGCTAGTAATGTTATTATTCAATTTAATTTATTTCTTTACTTTCACTATGATGTATAGCATAACTGAATAAAATTTTAATCAAAACACATGACTAAAATCATTTGACATTGTGATGTTGTAAGAGTTTATGTAAATAGAGTTAAATGTAACAAATATTCAAAAATAAAAATAAAAAAATCATAAGTTAAGAGATGGTTATTACAGATATGACATATATGTTCAAAGTTAATATGAAAAGCAAAGTTATCTTAGAGAAAATATATATCATAGAAAAAATATTCATGTTAAAAATTGTTGACCATTGATTATGGCATCTATATCGTAAATACCAATAATCATCTGTGATCGAATCACAGTTAACCGACATAATCTTGGCAAACTCATGCAAAGAAAACGTTAATGGTAACAAAACCAACTCAAATATAACCATGGAACAAGTCTACCATATGTACGAAACTTGTTTAACATACGACACTTCAAAACAAGTCTACCACACCTCTGGTTTTTTCGTAGATAGGACAATACTTTTAGGACAAAAAAGTAATTTCAATCCATAAAGTCAAATCTCTGCCAAACATTAACAACTAAGTCTACCTCAAGCATGAAAAATAACTCTACCATATATACAAGTCTACCATAAGCACCTCATATGTCTACCAGATCGAGGTTATCTTTGTAAATACCAAACTTAATTAATCTACCACATGGTTATTATAAGAAGTCTACCATACGTACGATAACTCTACCAGATTACATAAACTCTACCAAACAAACAAACATATCTACCAATATTTTGTAAGTCTACCTCATGTAACAAATAATCTACCACTCACCGGAATAAATTTTACTTAAATTTAAATCTACCACAAAACAAACATATCTACCACAAAACAAATAAATCTACCAACATTCTGTAAGTCTACTTCATGTAACAAATAATCTACCACTCACTGGAATGAATTTTACTTGAATTTAAATCTACCACAAAAGCGAAAAATCTACCAACAAGATATAACTCTACCATAAAACAGATATATCTACCATCACGTATTGACACATAAATCTACTACCAAAGGACATAAGTCTACCAACTCAGAAAATAAATCTACTTCATCGTCAATAAATCTACCGAGAAAGTTGCGAGAAAGTCAACGCTTTCTTTAACAAGTCTACCAACACCTTTGACAAGTCTACCATTCATAACAACAAATCTACCGAAACATAATAAATCTACTTCTCATCGTCAAAACTCTACCAAGATAATTCTACCAACATTTGTAAACTCTACCAACTCTCAAATAAATCTACCATCGACCTAATAACTCTACCGACAAAATTTTTGCGTTGACCAAAATTTGATAAGTCTACCGTCAAAACCTGGTAGACTTATCAAATTTTCAGCGCTATAATCTGCCTACGTGGCATTAAAAAAGTAATGGCATTTTTGTAATTAAATTTTTTTTAACAAAGGCAAAAAGGGTGTTTTGAGTATGCTAGGTTAGTTTTGTAAAAAAAATAAAAATGCATCAAACAAATAATATAGATACTTTCTAAGGTTAGTATAATAATCCTAAAAAAAAAATATACAGTACATGATGTTTATGTGATGGAGATGCTTCACCGGTCTTTTCCCATCACGACCCCAACAATTAAAAAGACAAAAATTATACACATATATATATATATTTAGAGAGAGAGAGCAAACAAAAATAAAAGAAGCCAAGAACTGAAAATGGCTCCGGGAAGAATATGCAGCAGAGACAGCTTGATCTTGACGGCGATGGTGTTAACCGAGTTTTCCAACGTCGGAGTAAACACTCTGGTCAAATCAGTGACTTCCAAAGGACTTAGCCCATTTGTGGTTCTCGTCTACTCTTACACTTTTGGATCTCTTCTTCTTCTTCCTCTTGCCTTCTTCTCCTTCAGGTTTTCTTCATTCTTACTTACCACTCTGTGTTCCAAAATTTTGGTAAGAACTTGCTCTTAGATATAGCTTCATCTCTACAGATCAAGATCTCTTCCTCCGTTGACTTCTTCAATACTTTGCAAAATGGGACTTCTTGGTCTAGTTACGTAAGTACTTTTTTTTTTCTTGATAACAATATAACTAATAACATATGAATCCATATATCTTCCTAAGTTTCAAAAAAACATTATTCATAGATTCTTGAATTACATATATATTTAGATTTTTATTAAAGTTTTCAGTGATTTTGAGTTGCATATACACTCTTTTATTATGATTTATCGAAAATGATCAAACACTCCCCAAATAATTATTATAAGTAAATTTTTGAAAAAGTTTTTTTTTTGGGAGTGTTTGATCATTTTAATATATCATAATAATAAAATGCATCATACTAATTAATGCAACATCTAATTAGATTAAATTTCTTTCATTTTGAAATGAAGTTTTATAAGTACCGTTTAACAGAATTAGAAAAAAAAAAACTCATTTACTTCACTTCCATGACCCTAAATCAGTCAGATTCTTTTTTTCTGAACATTTTCAAATTCATTTTCTTTGTTCATGACAGTAATTACTTTTATTTTTGTATTTTTCCAAAAAAAAAAAAAAACAGGAGTGCATTCCAAATTGCAGGGTACAATGGAATAAAATACAGCTCGCCTACTTTATCGTCGGCAATGAGCAATGTCAATCCTGCGTTTACCTTCATCCTCGCCGTTATTTTCCGGTAATGAATGTGTTTCCCAAATAGTTGATTAGTTGAAATCATATATTTAGCTTCTTAAAACTTTTATTTGCTTTCACTTTATAAGATTGCTTGCGTTTTAAGGGATCCAACCGTATACTTGGAGTTATTAATGTGTTAGTTGGAAAAAGGAGAAGAAACAAATTTCTGTTGATGAAAAGAAACTAGATCCTCTATTATTTTTGAGTCTCACATATGTCCACATAACTTACGGGTCCACGGGAATTGTTTTGGTTTCTTAGATTAATTTTAATATTATAACAACTTAACAAATGTGTAGCCACGGGAATTATAACAAACTAAGTTGACACTAAAAAACAATTGTACACATTTTTTTAAGTATCAACTTAGTTTGTTATTAACAAACTAAGTTGATGAATTTTTTAAGTCCAGAACGGAGCCGGATTTCCAAATTTTTCAAGGTATCTGAATCCAGATTCGGATCCGTCAGATAATTAATTTTACTATCGAATCTGGATCCGAAAACTTTGGATATCCGGTTTGAACCAAATATTTACGGATATCTGACCGGATATCCGATTTCATTGATTTTTAAAATTATAATGAAATAACATAGATAATTAAAATGTATCATTATAACAAAAATTACAAATAGCAAAAAATTATAAAAACATTCAAATAGCACAAAATTAAAAAATTTACATAGCAAAAGAGAAAATAATTATAGAGAAGTTAATTTATTTTCATGTCTATGTGTTATCCATTTTCATGTTTTTTTCTTACAATCTGAAAAAGAAAATTATCATATAATATGAATTTCAATCATATGTAAAGAAGTTATATAAAAAATAATTTTCAAACATAATTAAAACAAAAAATGAATGCATGTCCAAAGATTTCTAAACGATTCTTACCTCATCCAAACTTCACACTCAAAAATAATTATTATCAAAAAATAAATAAATATTTAACAAACGGATAACGGATATCCGATTTCAAAATTTTCTATTATCCGGATCCGTATCTAAAATAACCGAATACTTAATTTAACTATATATTTGGATCCGGATCCGAATCCAATCTACACGGATATTCAGTTTTTGCAGATCGGATAGGACTGGATACCGAATTGGAAACCGGATACCAGATAATATTTCCAAGACTACTGAAAAGTGAAAACGTGTGGAAAGCAAATGCTTTTTTTAAATCCAGACTCAACGTCAACGCATAGCCCTCTAAGTTTCGCCACATTAACCACTAATTAATCTTAAACTTTTAATATAGTCCTATTTATTCATCAACTTAGTTTGTAATAAGATATTAAAGCTGACTTTTAGTTTTGAATGTTGTTGGTATGAGGCGTAACGAATTACACGGTGAAGTCACTAGACCACTTGTAGTTTGATAATCTTCACAGTTTTTTTTTTTTTTTTGGATAACTAAGAAGTTCTGGGTTAAGGTTTGTACAATATCTTTTTAGGCTTGGGCCACTTTTTAATAATTTATTCGTTCCAGCTGCCACTCGATCATGTGACCTCTTGAATTACTCCATAGTACCTTTAACCTTCACAGTTTCAATATTAACATTAAAACAAGAAAATAAAATGAATATATATAAGAATACTTTTAACGTTTATTAACTTACACCTTTTGGTGTAGAATGGAGAAAATATCTATAAGAAAAGAGAGTAGTGTAGCCAAAGTGTTGGGAACAATAGTGTCTATAATTGGTGCACTTGTGGTTACTCTCTACCACGGTCCAATGCTTATGTCTTCACATTCCGATTGGGTGATTGGAGGTGGCCTTCTTGCTCTCCAATACATCCTTGTCTCCATATCTTACCTTGTTATGGTACATACTTTATATGACTTCAGAATACAAATAGAATCCATAAAATATATTATATGTTAACGTGAAACTCGGGTATTTATAGGCACACACAATGAGTCGATATCCATCTGCGGTCGTTGTAACGCTCGTGCACAATGTTTTCATCCTTGTTGTGTGTGCATTCGTTAGTCTTTTGGTAGAGAAAGATGACTCGAAGGCATGGATCATTAGATTTGACATAACCTTGACTAGCGTTGTAGCAACGGTAAGTTTTACATAAATATGTGTAATAATCTCTATTTGGTTTTACATGTTTGTTGATTTACTCGTTTTTTCTTTGCCTTTATGATATATACACAGGGGGTTTTGAATTCGGGATACTATATTATACATACGTGGGCCGTGAGTCACAAGGGACCGGTGTATTTGTCAATGTTCAAACCGTTATCTATATTGATCGCAGCCGCATCAACCACCATTTTCCTCAGCGAGTCGATCTACCTTGGACTGTATAACAAACAACTTTTTTTGCTTCTATTTGTCTTCTCGTTATGTTTTTAATCTCATTATGCTAATCTCCTCTCTCAAATTTCATGTTATGTTTTGGATACACAGTTTGATAGGAGGAATATTGATATCAGTAGGATTTTACATGGTCTTGTGGGGGAAAGCCAAGGAAGACAAAGTGGACATATTAGTAACCGCCATAGAGTCGTCTCCTTCACATAAAGCCCCTCTCTTGGGTAACTAAAAGCTAATAACTATATGTATTCTTTATACAAACAGAGATTATTATTTTTAACTAAAACAACAAAGCATACTCCTACTATCTCCATTTTTCTATCTTCTTCTTTCCTTAGATATTGCATTCGATTAGTCCTGTAAAATAAGAATATGTATACAAAAAAATATTGACCATTTGGTTTGGTGATCACTGATTTGGTTCTAAATTTATAGTTCTTTGAATTAGCCGTTTATTCGTAAGTCGATTAATTTGTGCTGTTTTGTCAGAGTGACTCTTGTCGTATGTGTACGTGGGTTTGGAAAACTCATACTAAAAAGACTTGATTAGATTGCTAAATTGCAAAGAAAGATTATAACATATTAACTATCTTTTCTTGACGATAGAGAGTACATTTGTATGCATATCTCTTCTTTTTCACATGTTAAATATTCACATAGTCCACCAAAGCATATGGAGCAAAAGTATATTCAACAGTAGTATATAATAGCAAATAACACAATAGTCAAAAGTTTCTTGGCACACAATATAGTGAATAATTTGACTTTGGCAACTGTCTTATATAGCAGAAATCGTTTTGTGTATTTAATTTCTTTGTGGCTTAGACCTTTTCCTTTACCTCTAGATTATATATCCTTGAGTAGGAGAAGATTGCTCCATTTGTATGTGACTTACTTTGACCATTTTACTGCTGTTTCATTGAGAATACTCTATGGTAAATGGTTTACAAATTTGATCAGTTCCCTCTGTTTCCCTTATCGCCCAAAGCAATATAGGACGCTGGATTTAACAAAATGATACTCTTCCTATCTTTCTCAAAGGCGGACCTTTCTTTCTTTCGATCTCGTTGGAGTTGTTTATAAGGCAGAAAGTTAACACACCATGATTAATAAAATGTAGGGACGACTTCTACTTGATGGTATCTCACCAGCTTTCACAGATCACTTTGTAATATATATCTCAGAAACTTGTCCATTTTTCTTCTAAATTCCTCATTTTGAAGCTTGGCCGATTGTTTATTAGGTATTACTCCTCTAATTTTTCTTATTTAACTTCTTGGTTTTCCATGTAAAGATGTCCTAGCCAAGGCCAAAACAGGCACTGGGAAAACCGTTGCATTATTGTGTGGTGGTGTACCTTACATATACCTGCTTTCTTTCATGAAAGACATGTGTCTGATTTCCTTGGCAAACTTTCCGGTGTTTCCTTGAGCTGTAGCAAGATAATCATTAACTAACTACTTTAGTTATACTGTAGCATGTTGAATCCAAAACTAAAGAATTAAGAAAATTTCCACTAGATTTCCACTAGATTATACAGAATTAAGAAAATTTCCACTAGATTATACTCTCTTCGGTTATAGATAAGCACAGAACTCATAACAGTTGCCAAAACACTCATATTTCTATACAAGTAAATATTACTCAAGAACCATAACCAAACCAAAGAAACATAGAGGCAGGAGAACTTACGATCAGTTTCCAGACCCAAACACTTCAAGGAATTTTATAGACAATAGGGTTATAATCAGCAAATTGCACTATCATCGATCAAATACAAAAATAGATATGAAAAAATATGGAGAAAACATTTAACTCTGCAGCAAATTTGCATTGTTTATCTACCCAAAAAAAAAACACATTACCAGATAGAGGCAAACACATAGTCTAAGAAAGATGCAACTACAACAAAGTTATATGTACTGAGAAAAAGCATTGTTAAATAGCAGCTTTTTGAACTACTATGATCCAAAGTACACCAAATGACTTGTCCCATCTCGTCTACCTTCTTCCACATGTTTCTCTTTGACAGTGTGACTCAGAATGAACGATCAGCGGGCAATTCACCTTCTTTGCCTTGTTTCATAAAAGGTATTTAACCACCAGAAATCTTTAACAAAATTGTCACCGAGCATAGTCATATATATATATATATATATATATATATATATATCATTGAGGAGTTTAACTGCCTCAGGATTCTACTACTACCAAAGATGGACTGAAGAAAGACAACAAGTATTTACAACTATTGATAACCGTACTCGATTTCAATATTTTAGCTATTAATAGTTTCCAGTAAATATTCATGACAATAAATTATGTCGAATGTGACCATTCTAATGTCAAACGAACCAATAAATCTCTTCTAATTCATCATATTAGTCGATCAATCTTAATGATCACTTTGATGTTCATAAGATTATTTATATAGCACCTTAGTGTTTCATAATTCTCAAAATGTGCGTGATATGTGCACAATTTTTTTGTCACCCTTTTGTGTGGATCGAATTCATAAGTTACTATGCAACATTTACCAACTTGTTTCGATTTTAAAAATGTTTTATTTAACAACAGGTTTCATTTAAATTTACAGTTACTTTTAATTTTTCAATAAATTAGTGTCTTCGTTGTTTAAAATGTTGAAACAAAAAACTACCGTAAAAACTTAACTTGCGCAATACATTCAATGTGGTTTAAATTTGATTCTAAAAACATGTGCACAATTATTTTCAGCTGTGTTGTTTCAACTGCGACCATGTTTCTGTAACATATCAAATCTCCTTTGTTGAGTTTGGAAATTGATCATTTGGAGACTTTTGGTATAGAAAAACTTGCAGGCAACTGATCTCAACTGCATATTTTTATTTATTTTGGAGTAACTCCAAAATGGAGTTGGGTTTTACTCCAATGTAAACTCCATTTTTTCCTTCAAAATAGAATTATGACCAAAAAATATAAAAATTCTATTGTTTGCTCCATATTTAGAGTAACTCTATTTTTTACTCCATTTTGGAGTGAGAATTGGAGTAGCTAGGGTTGGAGATAATCTTGCTGCAAACTCTATTTTGCAGTAAAATTTGGAGTAGGATTGGAGATGGTCTAAGACGCAATAGAAGTAATAATATGTATATATATATATATTTAAAAAATGTGATTAAAAAAATCATAAAGTAAGATTAACTGTAACTGTAACTTTAAACCACACCATACATACCATTTCAATTACGCTAATTTCAGATTTCTTAAATCTTAGTTTTTATTTCTGTCCCAAACATTCAAAGTATCCAAGATTCAAAATTGATTACGATTGCTATACAAGACCCTTTACTCTCTCTAGGGTTTCCGCGCAGGGTAAAATCAATGGCTGGTCGTAGTTCAAACGAGAAGACAATCGAACTCCCCTCTGATTTGATCATGGACATTTTTGCGAGGGTTCCGGTTAAGGACATGGTCCGGTTCAGATATGTCTGCAAAAGATGGGATTACTGCTTGGAGCCAAGAACTTCATCAACAAGCAAATGACTTACGGCCCAATAAAGCTTCTTGGGTTGCAAGACAATGGGGAGTTTCCTCCTCGTAGCATCCTTTACGAACAAGGAAGCAACGGTAAACCCAAAATGACAATCGAAGAAGCTGATCTAACTTGCGGTGACAAATCTTTGGTCGACTTAGACGTGATCGGTCATTGCGATGGACTGTTCTGTCTCCAGCTCCAATACAGAACTTTATCTTTTTGGAATCCGTTGCTGAGACAAGTAAGAAAGGTATCATCAAAATCTACTAAGCCAATAATTTCTCATGACTTGATAGTTTTCGGTTATGATCATTCGATTGATGATTACAAGATTGTGATCTTCTCGGCAATATATGTATATATATATATATATATATCTGAAACCATAATGGCTCCAAAAATACTGGTCTCGAGGCAAAATCTTCAAGTCTTTTCCTAGAAATATCAAAGGATTGATCCGAGGTTTAGTTGCAGTACGAGGATGTCTAGGGTTTGTGGATATGTGCATTTTCCAATTCATGACAAAGATAGTTGTGAATATGACAAAGTATGGTTTTGATTGCTTTATAGGGTCCCAGAGAAACGACGTGGAAAGTGTAAAACCTAAAATACTAAACACTACGAAATAACAATTGAAATACGAGTTTTAAAACTAAACGTTAAAGAAAATATAAACGAATGGAGGCGAGAGTATGATCTCTTTCCTTAACTCTTTGAATTGCCCGTAGTGCGACGGGTTTCTGGAATTCAAGAGTCGCAGGATACAACCAAACTTATCCACTAAGAAAGACGGATCTAAACAAACTATAATTCTACTATACTCTCGGTAGAAGACTTACAAAAAATAAAGGAGAGAGAGAGAGAGACTGTTGAGAGAATTTCTGAGAGAAAAAATGAGAGGTGTTTTTTTTTTATAAAAAATGAGAGAAAAGTCGTGTATATATAGCGGAGGAAGAGACTTGAGCAGTCTAAAAAAATCACAAGAAATCCGCTAGCCAACACGAATCTCGGCCATAAATTTAGCGTAGTCAAAGGCGAGAAATCAGCAATCTGTGATTAATCACAATCTGATACGTTTTTGAAGGGATAATGAATATCCAATATTCTCTTTGACTGAATCAAAAACATATGCAGAAAGTCAACATAAAACGTTGACCAAAACGCCCATAAAAATATGGCCCAAAAAGAATACTCGCCTTAGGCCCGAAGGCCCATTCGACCAATACGACCCGCGCCCGTGCCCGGCCCGGCCCGGCCCGGCTTGGCTTGGCTTGGCGGCGGCGGTGCGCGCTTGGGGCTTATTCTTTTCTCTCTCACATGTTTTGAACATGTATAAAGCATATCTTAATATATACTACAGATTCTCCCACTAATCCACCGATGTGGGACAAAACCACTTACAACACACTTCATTTCATCTTCACCCTTAATGGGTTCAATAATTTCGACCCAACAGTCCCCCACATGAAGAGAAATGACTCTAAACACATGAAGACTCAATTGACTCGATAAAACTTAACTCGACTAGACTAGACACAACTCTGACTAGGCTAGACAGACTTCCGAGAGTATGCGAAAATGCAACTGTATCTGATAGGTGGCATTTTTCAGCTTTGAACCAATCATTTTTAATATCTGTCGGGCTTACTTGGCCAGGAGGTGTACATGATGTCTTGAACCACCCAGACTTTGATGTAAACCGAGACAACAGTTATCGCGCAGCAACATTTTCTCGTAGGACTTGAGTTCTCTATTGTGTTCATTTTGGCCTTGAACATTCCTGGTTTCATGAGTGAACTTGGAGAATATAGCCTTCCTTTCATTCTCCTAGAAACGGTCCCATTTCACACTCATTAGGTGATCTGCCATTAGTTTCGTTTTTTAAGAAAT